AAAGGAAAAATTGAAATTGCATCATATGACCCCTTTAAGCTAAACATGATCAGGTCAAAGTGTCTGAATAATTTTTGGTCCCCAAATTTTTATCAGTTTAACTGGTAGTCCACTGTATGAAGAATTTCTGGGTATAATATGTCACAGTTTACTTTATTTTGCTATCCTCACTTACATAAATGAACTATAGTGTCCTGCACCCACTAGTAACAAAATATCAAAAATTATATCTGGTGTCTGAATGGTTTTTGGTTTGAATGTATGTGTCTGCAGTTTGGACACACAAGAAACAAATGTATATTTTGGATAAAGTATACTTGGGTAAAGTCTTTAATGATATTCGGGATCTTCCCCGCGCTGAACTGGATTTGATGGATATGAAAGGCGACCAGCCACAGCTCTGCTTTTACCTGCTGTTTAAGAGCAGCTTAGCTCTTTTGTGTTGGAGTCCCAGAATTACAACATGAACACAACATGAATGATTCAGAGCCAAACATAGTATGCCATGAATTGCACAGTGTAAATTAGTATTTTATGTCTAAGCCTCTGGGCTCATGCTCTGGTCAGTGTTACGTAACCGCATAAAAATCAATGCTGAAAGGAGATAAATGCATGAATGTAGTGTTGTCACGGTACCAAAATGTCAGTATTCGGTACTAATACCAGTGAAAATCCACGGTTCTCGGTACCAATTTCGGTACCAAAGCCAAAATTAATTTAATCCAAACTGTATACATATTTAATTTTAAAGGGCTTTTGAAAACCTTCTAGAGTTATTCAGCCAAGAATAACAACTAAGTTAGTACCGGGTCTTTTGACAACACTATATTGTATTATATTGTTATATTTAGTGTTGTCAAAAGACCTGGTACTTCGGTACCAAGTCGGTACTAAAAAAATGAAAATGTTGCAGTACCAGTTTTTTTTTTTTAAGTAAAGTACCCCGAGTACCCGGTCAACCTGGTTCTTGATGCACTATCCGAAAGGTGCGCAGATGCGTTCTCTTCATAAAAGCACGGAGACGTGGCGACATCAAAACGAGAAAACACACCAAACTAACAAAACACTTTAAAGACAGACACCCAGATCAAATGAAAGAGTTCAATCAGGTAAGTTTCATTTTAATTTTTAATATTTAGATCAGTGTTTCCCATACATTGATTTATTTGTGACTGCCCGCCACAAATAGATTTTCCAAAAGGCTTTGACTTTGTTGAATAAACATGAGCACTGCACGTGTCAAAGTCGAAACCCGGTGCGGGTGTTTTTATATCACTGTATTTCTGAAGGAAACCAACTGTCTTCAGAAAATTATGGATGTCATTTTCATTTAGTCTTTCCTGTAATGCCTGAGCAGCGTTTGTGAGAACAGCGCTTATTTGATTACAGCCGTTACCGGGGAAACCTCTATCTCTCTACACTAGGGGGCGCTATTACACATCTTCTGAATGAGTACAAAACCTCCCGAACAAAAACACACGTGAGCAGGACGGAGAAACGAGCGATCTCTTATGTAAACAGATGCATATGAATAATAATGCGATCATCAGAAATGGCAGCATATAAATGAAAACTGCATAATGTTACAGAGTAAAATGTTGATCCAGGAAGTGGTATATGTCTGTGCAAGCTTTGGAGGTGTTGATAGAAGCGATTTACTGGATTTATGCTTTGATAATCGTACTGAATATTACCCAGGTGTAGTGTTTGATAAAAATGTGATTTTCTCAACTTTTTGCTCAAAATTATGCATTTAAATGAAACCTACCTATATTCAGGTGTTGACAAAAAAAAGAATGCTTTAAGCTAGAATAAAACTGATTTTTATGTTTAAAAATAGAGGCTCTGATCTTTATTTTGGTGTATTGCATATTCAAATATCCATACAGCAAAATATTCTGGAGGCCGTCAAATTCTAGTGAAAAATCATCAAAATCGCTGGCGGTGGCTGGCAACTTTTTTCAAAAATGCTGGCGGGGAAAGAGTTAACTATGTAATGCTCCTTTAACTTTTATTAGGGTAAAAAATACAGGAGGACATGATGATATTTACTGTTTTTACACACCAGAGGGTTTTAAATGAATTGTGAATCTAAAATATGTGTGTTAGAGAATGTACAAATGGTTAACATTGTCATATCAGTCAGAAAAGCAGTTCTGGGCCTTTTTTTTTTGCTAACTTAGTTGTTATTCTTGGCTGAATAACTATTATATAGTTATTATAGTGTATATATATATATATAACTATTTTATGTCTAATCGCGATTAGACAGAAGCTGTGATTGTCAGTGAAGCAGGGTTCTGTGATCAGCAGTAAATCTCCATCTGAAGGCCAGAGAAACTCCAAATACACAAACCCAGAAAATGCCTATCGCTGCAGCTGAATAAACAGAAGATTCAACTGCTTTCATTGATTCAGTGTGACTAATAAACACACGACTACGACAATATATGGTTTATCTGAGTTCTTATTTTAATTTTAATTATAATAAAGTATGTTTATAAAGCAATGCCTTTATCACTGCTTAAATACTATGAAATATGTTGTGTGCCTTATTCTGTGTAAGAAGCCACATCATCTCACAGAAGGATTTATTTCAAACACTCGACTGACGTTATGAAGTGAGTTTGCAGTAAAAACATGTTATTAAATGTGGTATTTTCACCTGCTTTCAGATGGAGCAGCATTTACTACACAGAGCCGTAGTTCACTGACAAGCTACTCAAACAGCTGTCATTATTACGAACGATTTTTATCGATTTCATAATCGTACGATTATATCGTCGGTTAATTATTTATTTATTTTTTTGCGTAGCTTGTCAGAGAACTACGGCTCTGTGTAGTAAATGCTGCTCCATCTAAAAGCAGGTGCTGGAGATTTACTACTGATCACAGAACCGGCTTTACTGACGAGATGCGCATGACAATCGCATTCGATTAATCCTGCAGCCCTACATACTATAGGGAAATGGGCCTGTTTGGATGCGAGGTTAACTTCCTGTAATCAGTGTGCTGTCATTGAGATTTACTCACTCCTAAATCTCACATCAAATAAACCAAGCTGACTTCATTCCGACACTCAAGTCTTGGTCTGAAATGTCTGTTTTCTCAGGTTTTCAATTTTGATCCTGGTGCGGTGGTGAAGCAGAGGACTGCGGAGGATGTGAAGAGCGATGAGGATGTTACGAAGCTCTGCATCCACAAGAGAAAGCTGATCGCAGTGGCGACGCTGCATAAGAGCATGGAGCTGCCGCGTCCGTCCCTGACGCTCACCAGCCCCGGCGGAGGCACACGTATGACAACAGAGGAGCTTTTGTGTCAAATTAATACAAACATTTAGGGAGACGTGAAGAATCATTGATCTTTAGGGCTGGCTATCGTTCAAAAGTGTTCGATATCGGTACCAATATCTTGACTTCAATACCTGAACGGTTCGGTTCCTGAACAATACTTTTTTCAATACCAAATTTATGAAGTCTGTAACTAGATTACATTACACATTTCCTCAAAAACGTTTGGTTTTATTTTTTCAGCTTGTTGTCGTTTTTTCAGACTCCTGAGCCACTGCACAAAGGAACAAATTGTAACCAACACAATAACTTTGAAAAGTTTGAATGAAAGTTTTCATAAAGTTCAAATAGTTTTCAGTTTCCACATATTTTAGGCTACGTTTAGTTTTCATTTTAAAATGCATAGCTCAGAATTATTTATTTTCATTTTCATTGATTTACTAATGAGCATTAGCTGCTTCCAGCGCTGTCTGCCTGGGTTTTGTCTTGTTCACAAGTCACTGTTCAGACTTAAAGGAAGCTCATTCGCTGCTCATATGTCAGTCATATTACACGTTCATATGGCCATTACACTTCTGCATTCAGTTCTGTACAGAAGCAACCCAGGAAAACATTTCTACGGGTGAAACATGAAGCTAATAAACACACGATTATGACAGTATATGATTTGTATGTGATTTTCAAGAGATTCTGCCTATTTTCATAAAAATACAGGGTGTTTACCTGAGAAATGCTAAGCAGGTGTAGCGATTACTATCGGAATTTATTACAGTCACTCAATGGTGGTTTAAAGTGAGTTTTGAGTAAAAGTGTAGTATAAATCTTAGAAATTGTCTATTTAGCATGATGCGATAGTGTGCTTGAATGGTCATGTAACATGCATTTTCAGTCGTGTAGTTTTCTGAAATGCAGTGGAAACGCCAGTATGGACGAGGATTGGTTTCATTTTAAAACTGCGTTTTAAAGAGAAAACACACTAGTGTGAACATCTATAGGGTTTGGGATGCTTACAGACTACAGCTTCAAGTGTGAGCCAAGTCTCAGGGCGTTACCGGCGTAAACTAGTGTGTATTTCCTTGATGCTTCACCAGGGGAGTATTCCAGAAAGGGGGATTTGTTGGAACCTCAGAGTTTGTTAACCCCAGAAAAAATAAACTTTTCGGTTCCAATAAAAGACTAAACTAAACCTCTCGGTAACTTTCCATAGTAACTTGCTGTGTGAACCTAATCTGATCTGGAGCAGATTGTCTTCGGGAAACCCAGAGTTTCTCCTCCATCTTTAAAGCGCAAGCAATTTTTAAATATTCATTCATTCATTCTGCATACATGCTTTTATTGCTGAAATTTTTGTAAAATGATCTGCCAGTGGCTTAAGAAATATAATCTTCATGCAAATGTAAACTAGTATTTTTTATGATTTATAAATTATGTCATTTTTCTTATGTTTTCTTATGCATCTTGATTTAAGAATATTTTGGTATTTTGGCTGGAAACATGACAAAAATACTAATTATTTAAAGCATTTTTTGCAGTGCAGGTACATTCATTCATTGGGCATATTTTCATGATGCATACACAAAAATGGCTTGCATTTTTTACACCGGATCCTGTAGATCTATTTGTTTTATTCTTTTTATTTTTATTTTATTAATTTATGTTTGCCTTATCCACATGCATATTTATTTGAGCGATACCATTTTTAAATGACGTTCACTTGATAACATCTTGCTGCGACCTCTGGAAGTAACCTAATAATAATTTCCTCAGGATTTCCAGTGTGGTTGGATGCATTGATGACACGCATAATCCTATCATAAACACAAATTTATTTGGTGATCTTTATTTTCTTACAAATGCAGAAGCAACAGTTATTCTTTGTCCTGTTGGGCTTTAATATTGGTATTGTGGCCATCTCCTCTTCATCTGTCAGTGGCACTGGTGCAGGTCCTCTCCCCGTTTTACGAGTCTCTGCTTTGCTGTTGGCTTCTGAATAGAAGTCAAATGTTTTTCATTACCCTTATTAAGAAATGTAGCATGTTGTATTAGAGAACATTTATTTATATGAAAAGAGCATTAGACTATGTGGGAAAAAGCTGCTGTGCGTTGAAATAGACACAGAATGAAATTTATTGAAAAATGTTTGTAAAGTCATGTATCCTACACGTATGCGGACGTCTTTTTCTCGGGTGCTGTTGTCACGATGAATCTCGAAGCTCCATTGATCATGGCTTCTCACAGTCGTGGTGCACACGCTAAACTCAGAGTGGATTGAACTAACAGCTGTTCTGAAACCGAAAACTCAGTTTCCCATCTCTGGGTTAGTCAACTCAGAGTTCAAGTTTTAACTCAGAGTTTGTTGAACCTCCTTTCTGGAATACACCACAGCACTTGATTTAGGCACATCATGCTGCGTGCTTATTGGCTCACCGACATTGACAAGATTAACCCCTTTGGTATTGAAATTTGGTAACAAACGACAAGACTTTTTTATCCTCGATTGTATTGAGGCAATTCTGTCGGTGCCTAAAAAACATTGAACTCGATACCCATCCCTACTGATCTTTACCTGTTTATTTTTCCATTATTTGATGACTTTTACTGTGCATTGCGGCAGGGGTTCCTATGATGTAGATAAAGTAATGCTAACCTACTGATAAATATAACAAATGCCACAGCATCACTTTCTATGGCAATAAATGTAACCAGTGACGATCTCAGGAACCCAAGGCAGTTTTAGCATGAACCCTCAGGGGCTCATATACCCTCGTTAGGAAAGCCATCACTGAATGAGCAATGGAAATGATTGACAGCGGCTCTCTCTCTTCCTGTAGGTGTGACCTCCGTGACCCCTAACGCACAGCCTCGAGCAATTAGGAGTAAAACCCACGAGGGCCAGCCCGAATGTAAGAACCCGTTCAAGGCGATGATGGCGGCGGGGCAGCGGCACTTCTCTCCGGATCCGTGCGGCCCGCAGCAGCAGGAGGTTTTCCCTGCGTTCTCTAGGCAGAGGCTGGCCAGCGGCGGGCATGGAGGCATGCTGAGCCCTCCCTCGCAAGCCTTCGGCGACGGCTCTCTGTCCCCGCGAACGGACTCTCTCGGCAGCCCCGACGGGTTTGTGCGCAACACACCGTGTGGCTTCCAGGGGACCGGCAGTCCCGGGGCCATGCACAGCAGCAGCCGCCGCATCCCTCTGTCTTCTCCTGGAGTCATGATGCACGGCTCGCCCGCCTCCCAGTCGTCCTGCATCATGGCTGGAAGGACAAACATGCCTCTGTCCCCTTCGGTCACCAACAAGAGCCCCATCATGAAGAAGCCCCTGTGCAGCTACCCGCCGGGCATGGACTCCAGCAGGACTGTGTTTCATCACAAGGCCCTGTCTGCTCCCGCCTGCACCCTGCAGAGCAAGCAGCTGAGCTTCGAGAAGGACCCTCTTGGCATCCTGGATCCGATTCCCAGTAAACCCAACCCATCCGCTTTCCAGCCCAGCGCTCACTCTCAGGTACCAATGATGAATGTAAACATCTCCTCTGAGCAGGGCAGCTTCGCTGTCCCCCCCTGCGGAAGCATGAAGGTACCGCCGCGCTCGCCCAGGTCCTCCATGAGCTCGCCCCGGCCCGCTCTGCCCTCCAGCCCATCTGGCAAACCGGACGCTCTCCACCAGTACAAAGACGTGCCCAGCCAGCTGCTGGCCGGGATGAGCGCTCAACACAACCCCATGTATCTGCCGGCCCCGGGTGCCGCCCCACAGAAGGAGCACCCGGGCCTCTTGGGAATGCCACTGAACCAGATCCTTAACCAACACAACGCTGCCTCTTTCCCCGCCAGCAGCCTCCTCTCAGCGGCCGCCAAAGCACAGCTAGCAAATCAAAACAAGCTGGGGAGCGGCGGGGCGAGCGCGGGGCCGTCTGATACCGGCAGGGCCGTCGAAGGCCACAGTGCTCTAAATCCCATGCTGCCACCCAACCCCGGCATGATCGTGGCCGGCGGCGAGGGCCAGAGCGGACGCGCCGCGCTTCGGGACAAGCTGATGGCGCAGCAGCGCAACCCTCTCCGCAAGCGCAAACTTCCTCCCAACGCTAACCACGACAGCGCTTTCTTCATGAGGACGCCCTGCCCCTCGACCGAGCAGATGAGAAAAACCACCCGGCTGCCCTCCAACACGTCGATGGCTCAGCTGCTGCAGTCTCTGAGCAACCACAGCTCGCACGGGCCCCGGGGCCGAAGCTTGTGCGAGGCTCCGAGCGCGCAGGTCCAGCAGCGGCTGCACGGCCCCGGAGTGGAGTCTGCGGCGCAGTATCCTGCCGGGATCAACCAGATGCAGGCCACGGCGATGAGAAACTGCGGGCCCATGAACCAAAGCGGACAAGTTCCTCTCGGAAACCACGTGACGGGACACGCAAATGCTCACTTTCAGCCGCGTGTCCTGCCGAACGTCAACTGCATGCTGCCCGGCGGCGCTGACGCCACGACCAATGCAGGTGAGGAGAGTCTCCAGCTCGTGCTGATGTTTGCAGAGGCGTCATGCACTTATTATCTTTGAGAGAGTGGTGGGGGGGTGGGTGGTCGCCATGCTTGTCATGTGACACACAGCAGTGGGATTATTATTTATTTAAGTTTCCTTTTTTATTTCGAAATATTCCCAAATGTTTTAAAGGGATAGTTCACCCAAAAATGAAAATTCTGTTATTAATTACTTGCCCTTATGTCATTCCAAACCCGTAAGACCTTCGTTCATCTCCGGAACACAAATTAAAATATTTTTTATGAAATCCGAGAGCTCTTTGACCCGCCCATAGACAGCAAGGATCCTACCATGATCAAGGCTCTGAAACATAGCAAGGACATTGGTAAAACAGTCCATGTGACATCAATGGTTCAACCCTAATTTTACGAAGCTACAAGAATACTTTTTGTGCGCAAAGAAAAAAACAATAACGACTTTATTCAGCAATTCTTCTCCTCATCCCGTATGCGCGCCGCCATTGTGGAGACAGCATCATGACGCATAGGCTTACTTCTGCTTCATGTAAACGACGCATGTGTGTGTTCGACGTTAGCAGCAGCACCATGTGTATGCGTTGTTTACATGAAGTGGAAGCAAGCGTATGCGTCTTTTACATGATGATTTTTGGGTGAACTATTTCTTTAATTATAGGCCTATCAGGAAATATCTTGATTCTCAAATATGTGTAAGTAAATGCATTTTGCAACTTTATAGATGTTGTTAGTTGATCTATAACAGGTGATGGGCAAAGTAGCCTAATATGAATGTAATCTATTAACTATGCATAAATCCTGTCTTTTTCTTAAGTACCAGATATGGGTGTCGTAATATCATAAACAATTTTTAATATGACTGACTTTGTATTTAAGGTTACTTTGATAAAAAAAAAAAAAACATTGTAAAGTTACTAATTATAAGACTTACATTGCATAGAAGAGAGCAAAGAACATTTACATAATCAAAGCTCGTTATCATTGACTTAAGTCTAGCCAAAGTTCAAGCAATCTCAAAAACTCCCATTATAATCACTGAAGCCGTTTACATGATTATCTTACTTACATTTGTACACACATCTGCACTTTGTTGTTTCTGATGAGAGAATTCACCAGAGAGCAGAATTCAGTCAGCGAGCGCACACAGAACAAAACACCGGTGTTTCAGCAATGACTCATCTGAATGCCTCTGATTGGTTTCATAAGCTCAACAGAGGTAATAATGCACAGTGCTGTAAAAACGCGCCTGTCTCTGGCTCAACGCCAGCCAGCGAATGCAAATTTGAATTTAGCAGCTGCTGGTGTGCCACACTGTACGTTCTAATCACACCGGTGTGATCGTATCAAATATAAAAAATAAAAAAAATATTCGCCTGTTGTTTTTATTTTGGAAGCTGCGTTCAAAATCCACTTGGCTCAAAAGTCATGCCTCTTGGTTTGAATGGGCATGACGCCTCTGTTTGTTATACCAAACATTGATTGACCAAATTGTTAATAATTGTTTAAATTAATATAGCAATTTATACTTTTGACTCATCCATTTTCTTAAAAATGGTTTAAAGGCTGAAATGTAAAGTTTATCATTTTATAAAACTTTTTGTTTTTGTGAAAACTTGTATCTGAACTGTAAATTATGCTTTTTACGGTAATGTTACAGTTTAATATGGTACTATAGACATTGCCCTACCCCGCTCATATGGTATTAATTTTATTTGTGCAGGTCTTAAAAAGGTCTTAAATTTGAGCTTTAAAATCCTGCAGAAACCCTGATTGTCACTGATATCGTTATCGCAATAAATACCAGAAATATCGTGATATATTTTTAAGCCCATATCGCCCATCCCTACTGTAAGAAAAGAAAAGAAAAAAGAAAAAAAGAGGTTGTGTCCTCAGTGCATGCGTGCAAATTGCTTCTTTTTTTTTTTGCTAACACTGCACAGAAGCAGCACTAGCATATTCTGCTTGAGGCCTGTTTCTGTTTTCTTTCACTAACACGGTTAAAAACCTGCATTATACCCCGTGTACACATCTTCAACTGACCGTGTGAGTGTGTGAGTGTGTGAGTGTGTGAATCATACCTTGGAAAGCAGTACCAGTCATCTCACTGCTGTCTCCATGGCAACCTCCCCAGCAGCTGCTGGCAGTCGATCTCACACACACACTGTCCGCAGCGGCCGTCGTTCTGTGACACTCAGCTTTCGTTAAGCAACACGACACGGCTGCTGTCGCACATGCGTGTCATTTCAGTGTAATGTGTAGGTTAAGCTTGATTAAACCTTTAAAAGCAGCACACTGACCACACATCATGCGTTAGCATTCACACAAATGGCACACGCTCACAGTAAACAGATATTTATAAACTTCATCCACTCGTCCGCTCTGGCCCATGACGTCTGATCAGACTCACCTGATGATCCTGAGAGCGTGGTGTTCGTGATCAGGTGTGTTTGATCAGAGCCGGAGCTGAGGGACACGGAGCCACTGTTTCACACTTCAGGAGCCTCCAGGAAAGGATGAAATATCTGCAGTGTATGAGTCGCTTGCGTGAGGATGCATTTTAGTTTTAGTGGCTTTACTAGCATGACGGGTAAATTTTGACAATTAAAGTTAGTAATCGATTCATTCACACTAGTCTTATGCTTAAACTATAATATTGTTTTACATCGTGTGGTTGTAGTTTTTAAACATTGCGCTTTTTTTAACTAGGGCTGCCATTCAAATATAAAGAATAGTAGTCATGCTCTCTAAAACAAATGTTTTCAACAACCAGATCAATTCTATCTTTAACTGTCTGGACGGAGCGGGTCTCAATACATTTTGTTTGTAGCACAATAAAAGTTCAAAAATAAATACGATGGACTCACTCACATGTCTTTCGTTTAATTTGACATTTTTCCAGATTAAGATATTTTAGTTCCTCCTGCTTGCATTCTTTTGAATATTTTATTTCCTCTGTGCTGACCAGTCCAGCCGATGTAGAGATGTTGGGGCCTGACCCCTGACGCTGTTGTGTCGTTGCTAACAGGTGATGCGGCGGCGCTGAGCTGCAGCATGGCTAACACTCCTCAGATGATGGCGTCCGCGGGGCACCTGTACCATCAGCAGCAGCAGCATCCGGCGCTGCACGTCTCTGCTAATCCGGGCCTGGGCCATTCCTTCACTACGGCTCCTTTCACAGACAGTAGCGTTCCTAACTCCAACAGCTTGCCTTGCCTTTACCAGGATTATCAGGTGACTCACTCAGTACAGGGCCGTATGTATAAAGCCGCTCAGAGTAAAATTGTAGTCCTAAGTGTGTCAAAATTCTAAGAATGACATCATTTTACTCTTATTCCTAGACTTAAGAATAAGAGTGATTCATAAAGTGGTTAAGACTGGTCTCCGCTCCTAAATTATTTAAGAGAGCTGGAGAGGTCTCCTAACCTAGTTAGGAGTAACAAGATGGCAGCAAAGAGGAGGAGACAAACACTTTCCAATGAAGATATGACACATTGGAGTTATATGATGATATGTAGTTGATAAAACGATACAAACTTGATTGTCAAGACCCAAGTCTTCAACAGGTCAATGCTCTAACTGCAGAAATTAAAGTAGTAATAACATTTTTTTGGCTGGAAAATTGGAAAAATGCAGCAATGCACCGGTGATGAAACTGTAAGCAGGGTCTTGCATATTGTGGCACTAATCCCACCAAACACAACAGTGGCCAAAAGTGATGTGTGGATTTTTTATTTTTATTTTTTTAATGACCCCACATTTCACTTAAACCATCAAAATACAAAGGAAAAAAAACACTGACCAGTGTTGCCAACTGCTTTCAATTGAAAGTAGCTAAAACTGGTCACTTAATGTTGCTAGATGACCTCATAAAGGTGAGTTCACTGATCTATATTTGTATTAGTCAAGTCACCTTTATTTATATAGTGCTTTTTTTTTTTTTTGCCGTTTTATGCCTTTTATTTAGATAGGACAGTAGGTCGGCAGGAAGCGAAGTGGGTGAGAGAGAGAGAGAGAGCGGGATCGGGAAAGGTCCACGAGCCGGGACTCGAACTCGGGATGCCCGAAGCGCAAAGGTGCTACATGTCGGCGCGCTGCCCACGAGGCCATCGGCGCCGACTATATAGTGCTTTTAACAGTACAGATTGTGTCAAAGCAACTGTGCAGCATTAATTAGTAAAATAGTGTATCAATAATGCAAAATGACAATAGTAAACACTCAATTTTCAGTTAAAGGCAGTTCATCATTGAGTTCAGTGATGTCATCATCCAGCTCAGCTCAGTTTAAATAGCATCTGTGCAATCAAGTCCACGATATCGCTGGAAATTAAGTGCTGTCAAATGATTAATTGCGATTAATCACATCCCAAATAAAAGCTTTTGTTTACATAATATATGTGTGTATACTGTGTATACTTATTATGTGTATATAAATACAAACACATGCATGTATATATTTAAGAAAAATGTTATGTTTATATATTAAATATATGTATATATAATATAAAATATGAGAATATAAATATATAAATGTATATACATGTAAATATTTTTTAAATATATACTGTATGTGTGTGTATTTATATATACATAAGAAATATACACAGTACACATAAATATATTACGTAAACAAAAACTTGCGATTAATCACGATGAATCGTTTGACAGCACTAATTTATATTTAAATAGATCAGTGAACTCGCCTTTATGACGTCATGGGAGAGTCTCGGAATGTAGATAAGGTTTGTCCAAGAAATTGATTTTGTTGTCTCTAAAGGTATGAGGAAGTCACTAAAACTAGTGACCAAATCACAACATTGACTACAACATAAGTTATTAATATTTAATCGGTCCTCTTGTTTTTGCATGTGTTCATAATTTCTTTGTATGACAGCATGGCCAAAAATGATGACCTCACTATTTGGCATGTTTCATTGCATTATTATCACAAATAAAATAACTGACTCTAAGCATCTATGCAATATGCTTACAAAATCTTGCACATTTTTGTTTTTTAATTAAGGGTGAAGATGTCCAATTTCCTAGGCCGGACATCACTTTTGGCCACTACTATATGGCAGTTTATTGACTTTCCAACTGACCACCTAACCATATTGCAAAAACAAGCCACTTTTATGAGGATTGTGGGCTTTCCTGGAGTTGATGGAGCCATTGATGTTTACTCCAACTGTAAACAAGGAGACATACCAATAGAAAACAAAGCATCAGTAATAATTTGTGATAATTTTGCAAAATGCAAGGCATTTAAAAAAAAATACATTTAAATATTAAAATATTTCAGTGTCTTCATTGAATGATTTTTTTTTGTAGTTGCATTAAATGATTGGTGTTGTGCTGCTGTGACTTCACATGAGCAGGCTCACTATTGGCTGATTCAGAGGTCGAGGGTTGACATCATTGTAGTCCTTAGTTCAACACTTAAGAATCAGTCTTAGACTTTACTGAAAGTTGCTTTTAGCTTCTTTATGAAAGTCTCGTACTCTTAGAAAAGTCCTACTTTTTACTAAGAATTTTTTGACACTTTAGTCAAAGCTTAAGACTATTCTTAAGAGCATGTCTGAGAAGTTTTATATAAACGGGCCCAGTAAAACAGCTCTTTTCTCTGAATGTAGCGACCCTGCTCTAAATGAGATGCTTCTGTTTGTGTGTTCAGGGCTGCATGCCTGACGGCGTCTTGCCGGCTATGAGCTCTCTCTCTGGAGACGCAGGCCTGTACCGCGACGCTCCGCAGAAGCTGCAGGGTGAGGTTTCTGTGCCGGGGGGCTCTGGAGGTCAGAGTTCGGTGGATGCGATCTACAGAGCGGTGGTGGATGCTGCTGGCAGAGGTGTGCAGGTGACCATCAGCGCCGGCGTGAGCGGCAGCACACAGGCCAGCCCCATCCCCGCGCTCAGCGCCATGAGTGCCTTCACCGCCTCCATCAGCCCGCCGCTCAGTCTGCCTCACGCCGTCAGCGCCGTCATTCACACGCCACACGGATCTGAGGGCACGAGCCGCCCGCCACACAACCGCAGGAGCTCAGAGCAGAACACTCCCGACGGTGCTGACGCCCACGAGTTCTTCCGCTCGCCGCGGCCGCACTGGGACGAGCCCAGCCACGCCCACTGGAGAGGAGAGGAGTTTCTGGAGTGCTCCACACAGGTGCGCAGCAGCAAAGCCCTGATGGAGTGTCTGCCGGAGATGGCCTCCGACGCTCAGACAGACGACAGCGCTAGCCTGCGGTTTAGCCACCGCTCCAGAGAGCGGCTGGAGCTCAACGGAGCGCTGCTTCGCGGAGGATACGGGGAGCCGCTCACAGGAGATGACCAGTCGCCCGGATCCTCCACCAGCTTGGAAGGGCCGCTGCTCAAAGACTACACTCACTTCAACGGGCACTTTAACGGACACTGTGCACCCAGCCCCTCGGACACCAGGAGCCTCAGCAGCGAGGAGGAGCTGCGGCACCCAGACTCTCCTTCAGCAGAGCTGCTGCACTACAGGCCCCGGGCCTTCAATGTGAGCGAGCTGGTCTGGCCGATCAAAGGCTTCCCGCCCTGGCCGAACAAACTGATGGGAGAAGAGCATGGGCGCAATCCCAGCATGCAACTGTCAGAACAAGCCAGGGTAAGAGACGCTGCCTTGTCCTGTCTATATGCCCTTGAAGGTGCCTAATGCAAAAGTCATTCTGTTATCATAAAGTGTGAAAATGTTACAGAAGCATCTTGTCATTTAGCCGTAGAGCAGCGGTGAACGCTGCAGTGAGATTTGTGTCGTGGTTCTGGTGGGGCGACTGATGATCTGTGAACTTGTCAGTGGTTGTTCGGAATATAAGGGCTTTGAGATCAAAGATTTAAGTAAAATCTTTAAACTGCAGTAGTAAATATTGCAGATAATATTTCTCTGGGTAACAGATCTGCTGTTTAAACTCTTGTTTTTTAGGTGGAACCGGAGCAGCTGAAAACACTAACACAAGACCTTCAGATGCTGGACAGAGCCAGCAAAAAAACCAGGAAGTAAGTTTATCTGTAACACAGCGATCCTACAACACTCACACGCTGGAAAACATCTACAAGTGGAAAAAAGAGATGCTCAAACCAAAAATCAAAAATTCATCTCCATTGAAGAAAAGGTGCAACACTCACTCGAGAAGGAAAAAAAACTATTGAGAATGTTGAATGGTGTGTCTGAGTTTTTACATGCTGTTTAAAAGCAAGTAAAATAATAAGCCGATGCTACTATGATAAGAGACCAGCACATGACAGTCTTGTTCAGACACTACAGCTGATCTGAGATCTGCGTCCCGCCAGACTCCTCTTTATAATGCTCTCAGATTTCCTAATTCTCCCTTCAGCAAACACAGAGAATGGGATAATAGTTTCATGGTATTTTATACACTTCAGTGCTCTGTATTTAATGCCTCAAAGTCACCTTTCACCCAATTTCTAGTGATAGGTTCACAGTTGTAAGTTCAATTCACATTTATTTGCATAGTGCTTTTCACAATACATATTGTTTCAGAGCAGCTCTCCAGAAAATGAATGTTTCTTTGATATAAGGTTATTTGGCCAGGGAAACGTCTTTACGCAGAGTTCTTTAATGGATCTTTAAAAAAATGTTTAGTCAGGAATAATCTTACATTTATCAAGTACTGAAATGAAAAATCTTGTTTGTTATATTGATGTGAGTTGGTTCTCGTTTTTTTCAATTCAAGTCAAGTCAAGTCTGCTTTATTGTCAAAGTTTGTCTCATCTCTGTTGCTAATGAGACCCACTACAGTCGTGTTCCTACAGTATGTTTGTTTCTTTTAATATACATTGATCCCTGAAAATAGATATAGATGCTGTTATGGCAGTAAAATTAAACGAATAGAATTCGGCCAGGGACCAGGAAGTCTTGAGAAATCTCGTTAATCTCTGATCCCCAGTCGATGAAAAACTCCGTCGGCGGTGAGATGTTGAGAGGAAACAGACTCATCTAGCAACCAAATAATGTCAATAACAATAATACATAGACTAAGATAGTACAAGTCATTAATATCACATTCTTTCATGTTTCTTTCTGAGCGCTTGTGTTTTTGTTTGGCTCGACGTCTGTTGTTTTTAAAGGTGCGCTATTAATGCATCTCGTGTCTCTCTCTCTCGCAGGGCGGGAAAACTGAATCATCATTTAGAAGCTGCGATTCATGAGGCCATGAGTGAGTTGGACAAGATGTCTGGAACTGTGAGTTTCACACACACACACACACACACACCTCATTGAGCTTGTTCTGATTGGATGAAGGGGTGATACAGTGAAGCTGTTGTCTGTCGATCTGCAGGTTCATCAGGATCGTCAAGTCAAGCTGCCCAAACCCAAGAGGAGGAAGATCTCCAGATAACAGCAGCGTCAGTGTCTCTCTCTCTCTCTCTGATCGTGGTGCTACACTCTAGCAGACGACTCATCGTGGCTCCGCCCTCATCCAGTGACTGACAGGTGCTGGATCAGCCAATTAGAAAAGGCAGCAAAAACAACTTGCTGAAGAACTATTTTTTTCTAGTGTACAAGGAAAAATATCAAAAATGCAAAAAAAGAAAATTACTGCATTTAAGAACACAGACAGTCCAAATATTTCTGATATGTTTTTGATGTGTAATATAGACAATACAGAAATTTCATGGTAAAAACATGGGAAGAAGTGTAAATACTGTAGGATAATGACATGTACAAGCCAACTCAATGCACACTTTATCTTCAGCTGTACAAAACACAAAACAGAAATGTCTCATCGGCCCATAAGGCCCTGCGACATTACAATGAATAAGGGTCAATCTAAGACTTTTCTAAGCTTCAGTTTGAGTTGTATTTTGAGTGTGTGTGTCGGAGTGGACTTCACCAGCTCAATGGGTTAGATGCGGGTTTGACTCGAGCTCGTGGGCTTCTATATATATATATATATATATATATATTTAGGTCTTCCAGCACTAAACACTAATACATGAACATGTTTATAATTGTCCCGTGTCATTTTGCTGAGTTTTCTGTCTTTATATGGTTAAGTTGGTCTCTCCTTTGTGGTATTTGTTTGAGTTAGACAGCACTGGTTTGTGAGGTTTCATTGGAGTCGTTCTTACTGTAATGGCTAACGAAGAGGAAAACTAGGGGCCTTATAATGTGTTATAAGTGATGCATGGACTCCCTGTTTATTTGACCTGTTCAGTTAAACTTGGCAATAATACGGCCCTGCGCACAAAGCCTTATACTTGTGTACACACACACTTCAGTATTATTCTGTTAACAGTGTTTCTTTGCCTTTCATGATGCACTCAGTATTTTCTCTTTTAAAGTTTCACTCATCAAGAAATTAACAGTACTTTTGGAAAATCTTCATTTCGCTGTCCACTCGATGGAAACCTCCAGTCATATCAGTAATGAAATAAAATTTGATTTACTCTACATGAAGAGGCCCAGGGGCCTCATGAGATCACATGACCAGCCGAACACCAATCACTTTATCTCAGTAACGTGGAAAAGGGGAAACACTGTCAGTAGCTGCAGACTTTAGCTTCCACACGTCAGGAGTCAGAATCAGTCGAGAACGGGAACATGTCAGCCAGCCGACGTCAGAAACCACTGAGCGGCCCAATCTGGGTGTAATACGGTGATGTTGTCTTCGTGTGCTGCATTATGGAAAGACACAGATGAGCTGTAGATGTGTTGAATCTCATACAGACTCAGGAAAGTCCTGCTATCATTTAGATTCAAGTTCTAAAGGGGTTCATGGGAAATGTCACTTCTGAGTGACAAACTGAGAGGAGTTTGTTTTTGTCTTGGTGTCTGTTGTACTTTCATGAATATACGATCAGAAGGGTTAGAGAAGTGACTTTAGGGATCATAGACTGGGAAATGGAACAGGTCAGAGGTCAGTGTCGGTTGCACAGAATCACTGGAGAACACGGTGTGACATGGACATCTGCCAGCAACACTAACTCAATATGAAGAGCTGATTGAATTATTTTTGTGTGTAAACTCTATAGGTATGTGTGGGATTCGCAGCACATTGCTGTGTGAAACACTCTCATCAGCTTGCATCCGTTTTAAACGCTAAAGCAGGGCAGATTAAATAGCAGATATTGGCTGTTTTCTCTCCTTGTCGTCAATCTTTACAGAAATCTCACTACGAAATTAAGTGCAATATTTCCATTCCGTGGAACTGGGAACTATATCGGCGCAGATATCGTTGTAATGTGTTTCAGAGGAGAAATGGTTCAAGCCCGTGAACAGACTCGATCGGCTCGTGCGTCTCTGCTGGTGAAGTCGGCTCTGTTGTTAGCGCAATGCTGCGAAAGTCTTACTGTTCAAGGTCAAAAACATTTTGTGTTCATGTGGTCAGTGTTGCCCAAAACATTTTCCATTTCAATTCTTCAGTCCTTTTCTTTCATTTCCTGTATGTGTGTGTGTGTGGACATTTTTATTTTATTCTCTTTGCTTGCTGTTTTTTGATTGGTATCTGACTGGTATTACAAACCTTTCTGATGTCAGTATTTTTTTTCAATACGTATCCGAGTATATATTTTCTCACCAGTATGTACTTTACAGCAGTCGACTTTGTAAAGTATGTTGTGCACTTGATTATGTTTGTTTCTGATAGCTTTGATGTGGCTGTTAGGTTTAGATTGTTAAAGTCCATAATTTCTTATTGTTTCATTTTATTTTTTAAGATGTCCTAAACAGCAGTTTTGTAAATATTGTGAACATTACAGGTCATGCTGTGATGTGACATTGAAATTATGTTGCACCAATGTTTCAATTAAAACCTGGTCACTAAATCTTGGTCATTAAACTGGCATTTTTACTGTAGCTTTATATGATGGATCATCAGAAATTATTGAAAGTATATTTTTGTTTTTTTCAAATTCATGTTTTAATACTATTTTCAAATTCACCATTTTATTCAGTTAGTTTCAGCAATGGTTGATTACATTTTGTGTTTTATTTCTTGGACAAAATTATTCATCAAATTTAAACTCTTTTAGTTTTTGAAATTTTTTTATTACAGTTTTTCTGTTTATATACAGTCCTTTGAATTTAAGGCTGCCGTCATACAAAGCTGTGTGTTTTATCGCTGCTAAGCAGAGGCGACCAATAAAATGAGTCACTGGAAGCAGGTAAATCAGGTCCAGCACTAACTAATAAGAGTGTGATGGATATTTTTTATTTTTTTAAATCTTAAATTGTAGTCTCCTCATTTGAGTATTCACTGTCTATCAATAGATAGCTAACAAAGGGCACTGCTAGAAATTTTGGGCCACTTGTTAATGTTTCCTTGTGATCGTTGATGATCACATGATGAAGCACCTCATTTTACACAAGATTTCACGTGTATAACATCTTCACAAAAGTTGATGGTCTGACGTTTCTCCTTTAATTACTGCAATCTGTCTTTGGATGTTGGAAAAAGGTAGACTAAGATCAACCGAAATTCATGTTTCAAAAAAAAAAAAACGTGTCTAGCTGAGATTCTGTAGGCATTTGCACTTGATCACAAACACGTTCATGAGCCATTCATAAGAGAAATACTGAAGCAGAAACTGCTGCTTTGTCCAGGTGTGGTAAGATTCTGCCTTAACATCACAAATCTAGCATCTTTTTTACTTTAAAATAAAAAAAAATAATCTATACTTGCAACACTATATTTTGTTAAAACTACCCTAGCATATATTTTTTTAAGCTGCAGTGATTGAGTTTGACTGTAAAATTAACGTTTCCGCTTATGCCTGCTGTAATCCAGCGTTTTATATTTTTTGTTCTCTTGGAAAGGCACTAGGGATGTGTGAAGTGGGTCCATATGCTGCAGACAGATGGAACAAAACAATAGACCTCAGTCCTGTTGATATGTGGTGTGATTTGAATGATTCATTGATGGACATCATGTAGTGGATTTGACCAAAATGCTGTACCAGTCTGGACTGCGCATTGCTACCTGATCAGTAGAGAAAACGTTTTAAATGTGGCTCTACTAGTTACCAAGTTCACATCGGTTTTACATAAAAAATTCAAAGATTGATCACTTGATTGTAAAAGAACGATATCAAAAGTGCTACGGTGTTAAATTTCATGACTGCGCCACACAAAGCAAGAGCAGAAGCAAGAAGTGCAGGACAGTACATACACATCCAAAAAAAAAAAGAATGCTAAATTGCTTTGCCTGATTAATGTATGTGGTGATATATGTATGAATAGTCTGAATGATGTGGGACCAGGCATTCATTTCAATTCACATGTATTTGAATAGTGCTTTTTACAACACATATGGTTTCAAAGCTGCTTTACAGTTTAACAGATTACAGATTACTGTTCTGGGAATGGCTAATATAGCTGCTTTCAAGTCTAGGTAAAAGCTTTCCTTGACCTCATTGGAGTTAGTCATGGTGGGGGCGTAGGCGCTGATGAGCGTGACAAAGCGCTTCCTAGGGAGTGGCAATCGGACTGTCATCAGGCGATCGCTAATTCCTTTGGGAGGTGCAGCCAGCTTGTTGACCAAATTGGTTTTAATGGCGAATCCAACGTCTGCCTCGGCGCTCTTCTTGCTTGCGTCCGATCCAGTAGAAAGTGTATCCAGCGTGCATTTCCGACAACTGTCCTTCTTCAGCGTAGCGAGTCTCACTGAGAGCAGCTATCTGCACTTTGTATCTGGCCAACTCTGTGGCAATAAGGGCAGTCCTCCTCTCTGGTCTGTTGGTCCCAACATGGTCCAACAATGTGCGCACATTCCATGTGCCTATGATGAGTGGTGTCATCTTGGTTGTTTTTCTTTCTTTCTTACCGCTTTAATAGGTTCCCCGCCAGCCGCGGCATGCTGGCCAGGGTAGAGGTGAAGCAGGCAATGTTTGAGGCACCTTTTCTAGCCCCTTCCCCAGGCTGGGGGGGGGAGCAGTGCTATCCTGAAGAGGGCTGCTCCATCGCTCAGGTGGCTGCCGAATTCCAACGCTGCTTCATTGATGGAAAGCGACCCTATGGCCTGAGCCACCATGCGTGCAGGATTGTGACTACGACTGCCAGTGTGACCACACCTGTCGCTTTGCCACGCACCCGTCGCCGCAGGACTTGAAGGAACGAGAGTGTGAAGTCATGACTTGCGCATGAATTGGATTATAGTGAGGGAGAGTTGCGCATGGTCATCAGCCTCACTCTCTCGTCCCGGCCCACCTAAGTCCAGTGGCAAGACAAAGTCAAGACGGCTGGAGATGGGTAAGGATGTAATGGACGGCCAGCAGTGTCCTTCGTGTCTCACTGTGCCCTGATCGCGCTCCACAGCACTTTGCTGGAACCGCCTTTCTGATCGTTGAACCAATCTAGTGGTTTCTTCCGCTCAGTCTGCCGGGTCCAGTCTTCGCATGCATGGGCAGACAAGCCCTAGTTCACCGGGGATTCAGCGGCGAAGAGGACGGCGGTGGCTTAACCAAACACAAATCTCTCCGCAGGAAATCTTCCTTTACTAAAATGAAACCCAGTCTCAATAAAATCCGCATGAGGTCGCAGATAGTTCACAGCACTTCTCACCTTGACTGATTTAAGAAAGATACTACAGAAGAGTCTCCAAACCTCCTAAGACCCAAATCAAACCTCTTTGGATGAATATCTGCAGCTTTCAAGTACATTTGCCACTTTTGTTTACTGAGGGCTTTTGTTTATCTCTTGTTTTGCACAATATGTGTTTTAAAGTAGTCTTCCAAAACACAACAATGGTATGATATTATTTCTCTTCCTTCAGGTTTTGTGCAGATAATAGCTTAACACAACGTACAGTATATAAAACCTTTCTTTTAAGGGAGGCTGTAATGTCTTTTGAATAGACCAATTATCGGTTTGTAAACATTCAGGATGCACGCGCATCATGGTTGCAGAAAACCCGGGAGAGATAGCCTTTACAGCTAGAGAATTTCACGGATACGGTACAAAATAGTTAGGTTTAAAAAGGTTATAAATTATATTGATTAGATGTCATTTTCAAAATGTTCTACACATATTACAAGAGCCTGTCACCCAGTGATAAGCATTATTCAACGAAATTGACGTTAGAGAGTGCGATAGTCTTACAGATCCGAAACAGGGGTGACGTTTGTTGTGGGCGGAGCCTATCTGGAGGCAGAAAATGAGGGTTTTCAAGCGGCAGTCTATGGAGCCATGGAATAAAAGAATAAAAAAAGGTAAATTTGATTTTATATTTCAAAATTCTGACTTTATTCTCACAATTCCGAGATTATATTTCACAATTCTAATAAGGAAAAACAACTCGTCATTCTCTCTTTTCCCCTCGGCTCTTCTGGCTTTTTTCCCTCAGATTTGACAAACTCACAATTTTTGAGTTAAGTCGAGTTATAAGGTCCGAATTAGCAGATATAAACTTGCATTTGCGAGAAAAAAAAGTCAGAATTGTGAGATAAA